GAATTCAGGGTTTGACTTGTCGACTTCAGTTCAGTCTACTGTTTTTTGTTTTTTTTTAATTCATCTGAACAGCTCAGCAACCACGAGCAGCCATGACAGGCCTGTCACGCTTTAGATTCCTCCACATATTAAAACAGGCGCGATATTGAAAGAGTGTTGTAATTTCTTTGCCTTTCAAAAACTAAATCGGGTTTTAAGACAAAAATGATTAATGCTCAGACTTGTTTTGTTTGCCGAATATCAGAAATAATCTCTCTGCATACTCGCACCTAAGATCCTAGTTGCAGAGAATACTATACTACAAACTAAAATGGGGCCGGCAGCATTTTAAACGTTTCTGGAGCCTTTCCTGATAACCTTCGAAATGTATCACTGAAAGTAATATGAACAAGCTTGTGAGCCAATCAGGGTGGAGTTAGATTTGAATTGGTCCGATCTTTGCCTTATACTTGTAATACCAACAAAGTTGTCTGTCGTCTTGGTCAGTGGTCAAAATGAGTCAAACTTTTATCAGTGTCTCAAGTGTGACTAATTTTCTTTCCATGAGCTGATGTACGATGTTTCGTTATCTAATCTTTATCATCAGTCATTTCCCACATCCACTCCCTCTTGATAAAGAGAAACGCACTTGTTCATTTTCTCTTTTCTTGTGAATGTCATAGACAAGAACCTGAAAATTACCAGGCAGCGACCAGAACCAGTCATGTCGTGAAGGAGTTATTGATGATTATACTGTGGGTGGATGATGACTGTATCTGTGAGACTCAGGACATGTTGGTTCTAGTGTTTGTTGTGGTTTTGTTTGAGTCTTGGCTCCTGGATGAGACTTGTTTGGCCCCAGAGTCTCTTCTGTCTCCTGGCTCGAGTGTGTTGGCAGTGGGAAGTAAAAACAACTGCCCCTAAGGGTTGTACTCTTACCTCTGCTTTTCAGGGTTTTTATTTACCCTGTTGGCAGTGTTGCTATTTGGTGACTTTAACTTTGTGCTGCTTGGCACTGGCAATCAAGTTGACTAATGCTTCCTTAATTATTGGCTGCACTTTTGCAGCGTTTTACTCTCGCTATATTTCCCACACTCCTCCCCTCCTGTCGGCTTTTGTCCATTTATAATGGCTTTAGCCGGCGTGCAGCTGTATAGTGCTCGATTTTTGCCTGTGTCTCCAGCAGCACTCAGCTGACCCACTAATGGAGGGGTGAGTGAGGAAGGGCCCGGAGGCAGCAGAAGGACCGCAGAGCTGCGGCTTAAAACAACCTGCCTCCGACAAACAGCGTGGACCTCCTGGGGAGAGGGAGGCTTTGAGGAAAAACACTGAAAACCCCTCAGTCAGAGAAAAGAAGAGGAGGAAACGTGAAATCAGGCCAGAGTGCAGCAGCGTTGGCTGCAGACAACAGCAAACCTCTGCAGCTCAGCTCTGTCCTTAAAACCTTGATCGTCTCTAGATTTACCTTTGACATGACCCTGTTTGACTTTGGACAGGACTTTTGTATGAACAATATTTTCATGGTTTTTGATTAAAAAGTACTGTAAATGTTCAAAAATCACTGATACACAAAGTCTTACATTGACAAAAATATATATCAATAAAAATGATAAAAGTATTTTAATATTTATTGAAGGTCAACTTGTCGTCCTCAAATGTCAGAGTTGGGACAAAATATAAATGTTAAATTCACACAGTTTGGCGACAGTGGATGTTAGCATGATTATAGCCTTTTCGTGGTTGAATTTCACACTGTAATTCTAACCGGTGGGAATTTTACCGTGGTTAATCATCATCATAACCCGAGAAGCTGCTCCCTCAAGGTTTTAGTGCTCGTCTTTGCTGCCCGCTGCTGCTCTGACTTTTCCTTTCAAGTCATAATACAGACTTTAAAAAGGATGCTGCCTCATCCATCAGGGAGAGGACAAGGTTAATGCTCACAGAATTTACCCAAGCTTTATTCTGCCGGTCCTTGGCATTCGGTATGACTGACAAGTGCAAGTATTAATAAACCCTCAGATTTTCTTTATACTGCCAAGAAAAGAAAGTAATTTCTAGCATGAAGAGAATAAAGGGAAGCTAATATGCCCGCAGCCTCGGGAAGCAGAGGAGTGTTTTCATGCATGTCAGGACACTGCTCCGTGTCTGATGTTGCCCTGAATGATTCTTACTGAAAACCAGAGGTCGAGTTTTCTCTTTCTGATTTCTTGAATATTGTGGTCATGGTTCAACTCATGGTTCCCATCTCTGCTTTTGACCCCGTCTTACTTTCTGCTTATCATAGAAAAAGTTTGAAATTGTATTCAGGTCTCAGTGTCCCTGTGTAGATTGGATCAGATTTGGTTATTTTTCCCTCGGGCTCCAAATTAAAATTCAGTTTCACAATATTTTAATCTAGGTGGATGCCAAAACTTTATGATTCCAGGCTCTAATCTGAATATCTTTTGCTGATATTATCCAATATTATCACTGTACCAGAATAACTGGTGTCATCACACTTTAGTATCAAAGGATTTCAAGCAATATCAGCCCAAATAATTAGGTTAAGAATTCAGTAAGGAGGCAGACAGTGTTCTCGAATAGAACACGGTGTAGCTTCTGTTTCCCATGGTGCCTTGTGGGAGATAAAGGCTCAACACCATCAGCCAGAGTGACAGGCAAAGAGGTGGAGTTGACTAACCCTGGAAGAATGCAGCCGCGTGTGTGTGTTTTAGTATCATGAATCTGGGTTATGTGCGTCCCTTCCAACACTTTTCCAGCTGCAGGAACATTTCCTTTGTCGGGTGTTAATCCGTAGTGACTCTCTGCCCCTCTGCCCTTGTCCTCGTGTCCACAGGGAATAACTGTGAAGCACAAGCTGGAATGTCAGGGGCCTCAGCAGAGGACCTTGACTTTGACCTTTTTTTATTTTAGCGTCTGTGCATACAGAGTAGTAAATCTGCACATGCATTGCCTTGTCTGTAAATTATACACATTGGAAGAGAGGTTTCTAAATGAGGACTAAGGTGATATGTCAGAATATGTGTGAAAGTGAATCTCAGTGGGCGTTAATGAAACTCTGGCTTTAGTTTCTTTGACTTGGTATTAAATCCAACACACACCCTCCTCTTTTTTTTTTCTTTGTAAAGGGAGCGTAATTCAATATTGCATGCACAGACGGCAGAATGGATATAAAGCAAGTAAATACAAGATTGTTTGTTATCTGGGCCACGTTTGGCTCAGGAGGATTTGGTTTCTGACTTTGCCTGGAATCCGCAGCCCAGGAGAGAGGATGAAAGAAACACGGTGGAAAGAAACAGATCGTGTGTACAAATCACTGCTCTGCTGAATCACTGAACGTGCTGATCGAGCGTCTGCCCTGACTAAATGTTGTGCTAATGTTGGCGAGTGCACTAATTTTCACATGTAGGCGTCCCATCAGCTCCTGCACTTTAGCAAGTTGTTTGGCAAACGTAAGATGTGACTGAACACGTCATGACTGTTCGCTTTGTTCGTCAAAGAGGATTATGCCAACCGGAGACACAGGGCCGTCATACATTGTGAAGACGCCTGTGTTGTATTCGTGCGTCGTTGTGGTTACACACAAATGAGCAGCAACATGGAGAGCATGGTTGTGAGACACACTGTGGTTTCTCATTCAGGCCGGAGGCTGCAGCGAAGGTCACGTGACGAAGATGAGAACAAAGTCTGAAATCGTAAATGTGCGACATTGAACTTAGGTCAACAAATAAAACTAAAGCCAAATAGTTAAAGCACAAACCGTATTGCTGTTATAAAAAATGTCAACATTGCTCCCATGATGTTTCTAACCGAAAACAAAATGGTCTTAAAAGTTTTCTCTCTGTCGTTTCGCCAAAGTGAATCTGGAGTCAGATTATAAAATGTCCAAATGTTCAAAGAGTGCATTGTCTTATCTCTGCACCCCAACCATAAATGTACTTTATGGTTGGTTTATTATAGTTCCCACACTCTGAGCACTTATTTGAATATCATGTACATTTACTTGAGGCTTTTTCTGCCTCCAAAGTCCAGTCATGATAATGTTTTAACACACTCATCTCCTCAAATTCTTATTAAAGCCTGTCGTAGATGGTGTGGGATCCAAACTAGCGTCCTTGCTGCGGCCTTCATTAATGGACAGGAAAATTAAATATGCTTGTTTTGTTGCTTCAGCTGTTGCTTCTGGACAGTGTGCGTCCGTGTCGGGGAACAGTTCATGAAGGCTGGCATCGGCACTGAATCACCAGCGGTCGAACCCTCAGTCAGGAGCCACATCAGCCTCTATCCAATGTCTTCGACGTAATCAGGACCACGTAGGACCTGGCCGTCTGCCACCGCTAAAGCAGCAGACGCAGCTTCTGATTTATTGTATTGAGTTGGCCCAGATAAGCAGACGCAGTCCATTACACCACCGCACTTAGACTCGCAATTGATCCAATTAAGGCGCCGCAGAATGAGGGCGGCCGGACGCCAAGGAACACGTCAAAAATCATTGCAGGAAAGACACGAAGGGCGAGTGTGGGCCACTTTATCTTGGGTTAATGTGTGTCGTTGCAGGGTAACACAGGTATTTAGAGCCAACCCTCATCATCATCCTTCATCATATAGAAATTATGTTTTGTGCTCATCACCACACACACACACACACACACACACACACACACACACACACACACAGATGTCAAACCGCCCCTGAGTGTTGCCATCTCTCTGTCCCTGTGTGAATATTCATATAATTCATATAACTAGTTGCACGTTTCCTCATGAAGGTCAGAACATAACACAGCTGAGCCACGTTTTAAAATTAGTTGATGTGTGCGTGTGTGTGCGTGTGTGTGTGCGTTGGCATCAGACTGAAGTAATTAAAAGGCTGCACATTCATGCATAACATTTCTCTTTTTCTCCTGACATTGAGTCACATCACTGTGATTCACGGTTTACGTTCGGTTTTTCCGACCGGAGCTTTCACGAGTTACTTCCTGATTCATTTTGTATTCACGTGCTCCCCCCTCCATCTGCAGGAGCTGCCTGAAGGCCAGGACCTCGACGGGGTAGAAGAGCAGACAACAGAGGGAACGACCAGACTGACAGACATCTGCAGCGGCGCAGCGGGCAGCAGCATGGCGTCCATAGCGGAATACTACGCCGGCAAGAACGTCCTGATCACGGGGGCCACGGGCTTCATGGGAAAAGTGCTGGTGGAGAAGCTGCTGAGGTCGTGCCCCGAGGTCAACGCCCTCTACATCCTGGTCAGACCCAAAGCCGGGCAGTCCATGCAGCAGAGGGTCAGCGACATGATGAAGTGCAAAGTAAGTCATTTTCCCCCACAGGAGAATTACACTGTGAAGACGTTCCACAGACACTCAGCATTTATAAATAGGAATTTAAAGACACAGTTGATTTGTCGTTATATTTGATTCTTGTGGTTTTGTCTGTATGATTGAAAAAGGAGAGTTGACTTTTAAAGCTGGAATCGTTTATCCAGTAATTAAAAAATTAAAAAAACAACAAAAATAATGGATTTAATTAAATTATTGAGCAAAAGCAACTTAAACGTGAAAGGAGCTTTTTTTAAATACATTTTTAAAGACGTGGTAATGGATCAGTACATTCACTTGTAACTTAACTCCAGATGATTAAGGAGAATATTTATGCTGCTCGCACCAGCAACAACAAGAACAAACAACTTCCTTCAGGAATGGGACGCTGAGGGCTGCCCTTTTCTTCACAGACACTCAGAATAGAATCTCACATCGTCAATGAAAGCATCCGACTATTTTTGTGTTGTTGATTAAAGAAGAACGCAGAATAACAACATGAATGAAATGTACCGGAGGAGCAGAAGGAAGGCGATGATGATATTATACTTATTTGTGCTAAAGTTGCAGATTGCCGTAGATAAAACACTCACGTCTTCACCAAACTGTGCAGTGATTATGGTTCAGTTATCATTTAAAACACGTGAGTCACTTAATGCAGCAGCACAAAGAGAGATGTGTTAAATCATCGCAGCGGCATGAAATAACCAGATGACGCTCGGCGCTCAGACTCGTGGGCTGTTCATTCAAATCATCGCACAGAACCATTGTTCGAAAGGCTTTTGTGGTTTCCAGTGTGTTTACAGAGCCGCGGAAATTTGCTTGCGAATTATAGCAGCGGCTGCTGTTGCCATGGTGACACAAACTTAATGACCCCTCGGTAGATTCCGACAGTTCACCTCAGGGCTTCGGAGCGAGAGGCGCAAGAGAGTCGGAGAGCAAAACATGTACGAGTCTGAGTGACAGTACTTAAAGGATGAGTGACCTGCAGGGTTGTAGCAGCAGCAGCAGGAGGAGGAGGAGGAGGAGGAGGAGGTGAGGATGAGGAGGTCGGACAATGAAGAAGGGAAGAAATAAAGGAGGTGGATGGGGGGGATATAAGCTGAGGTAAGCGAGGTAATGGGGGATGAGCTCTAAATATGTGATGTCAGCTGTATCAGGCGGAGCAGCAAAGCATGACTCATCAAAAAAACGACGTCGGTCTGATGAGGAGCGACGTATCGACACCAGAGCGAGTTATTGATGTTCAGAAACAGCAGCAGCGAACTCGTGCTCCTGCTCTTCGGGTGCTGTTGGCCTCAAACTGTCAGGTGCACCTAAGAAAATCTCACTTTCTCTGTGTCTCCCCCTCTTCTCTCTCCGATCTATTTTTACTGCTCTCGTTGAACTCGGTGCCTCGTTCATCACTCTGCTCACCACTGCGGAGCAGCAGTGTCGGGGATGCGACCCTTGAATTTAGCCTTTTCGTGTCTTTTCACATCTGTCGACATTCTCTGCTCCTCCTTCACTGTGTAATTAATCCTCTCTTCTGCGTGTTCGTCTTTCTTCTGTGGCCTCAAGGGGAAGAAATAAAAGTGAGAATAAAAACTTTTTTTGATCACCTGCATCTGTAGTTTCTAACATGTCGACAAGGTCACTTTTACAGTCCTGTAGATACAGAAGGCTCCTTTACTGGAGGAAAAGAGAGGAAACTTTAATGACATTATGATGTCAAGTGCTCAATAAAAGGTATAGAATTAATCAAATTAAATGTACTTCATAATAAAAAATTATCTCTCCTGTTGCATAAAGGGAAAAATTCTATCACACCCCATATATTTGTGTCAATCGACTGATAATTGCAGGATCATTTTAACCCAATAACAACATTCTAACCTGGATTAGAGCAGTGATTCTTAATCCCACTCAAAATAGGATGAGAGCAGCTCTGTGTCTCTACAGTGTTTGTGGGAATAATATCAATAAACCAAAATATTTCAGAACTCATGTTGCACAAGCGAATACTTCTGTCCTACGTATTTAACCCCCTTCACATTCACTCATATTGACGTACGATTTTTCTGCTGCTAGCCTTCACAGTATTTCCCCTCTCAGCAAATTTCCATTGGATTTGGCATCGCTCTAATAGTGTCTGCTATCAGGGCACCGCTTGATGCTCTGCCAAGTACAGACTCACTCATGCTCGGGGCCCCGTTCAGAAGTGATGTCATTAAATTTCCACGACCAGGCCTCAAGTGCCAATTGGTATTCATGCGGGTCCTGGGATCAGTATTATACTATTCACAATCGGGATAATTCATGAAGGAGAACAGTGGTTTTGGTCTCTCGAGGATCCTCTCCTGTCATCCTTCAAGCCCGACCCGTATCTTTCTTACCACCTGTTGCTAGGTAACAGCCGAGAGATCTATCCCATGGAGCTGCCCCGAGCAAGAAAAGGACAAACCGATAGGAATCTCATTGTCTGTGCATCTTTGGCGGCTCTTACTTTGACATTTAAGCAGCGTCCACCTGTCTTTCCATCTGTCCGTCTGTGCGGAGGCTACCTCGCTTCAGTGGAAACGTTTCGACGCCAGCAGCCCCGGCTGCGGTGCCAGGAACTGAATGGCATGTCAGATCTTTTGATACAAGTAGGCTTCTGGGTCCACAGGGTTTCTCTCCTGCTCTGTGGCAGGATTCTCCCACCCACGAGTGGACCGTTGATCCCTGCAACAGTCTTAACGTTTCATCTCCGAGGCCGTGCAGCATCTTCGTACCGCAGGACCGGCTCCGCAGCTGTGAGCGATGGGTTCAGATGTCGGCTGGAGAGAGGTGGGAGGTGGAATGCTCTGGTGGGAAGGACGGGGATGTGTGGAATTTAGCCTTCAAGGCAGGATCGTGATCAGAGGAGGGTTTATGTGTGTTTACTGTGGAATGACTATTGATTCCTGCTGTAGAGGATGTGCAGTGATCAGTGTGGCACTTTGTGCGTCTGTGCATCATCTTTAACATCAGACGAAGGCTCTTAAATAAATCTCGCTGCAAAAACCATGCGATGATTGGAGGTAGATGAAGCCATAACTCATTTATCTGTTACAACACAGACAAAATGCAACATACCGTATAGTAAAGCAAATAAATATATTAAGCACTTAGTGAAGATTAATAAATGAGACTCTGAGTTTTTGTGTTCGGAAGATTCTAGAGGCAATGTCTGTCATTTTTTTATTTATGGAGAACAAACAATGAAGAGGCAAAAGTGATTCAAAACATATTCATCTCAATAAAAATGCCCAATATCTAATAAAAAAACAATATTTGGTGGATATTTGGTTTGTTTTATAGCATTTTCAATTTAATTTACTTACAAATATACCTCATTTCCGATGTGGACCTCAGAGGAAAGATTCAGATCAGGACGTGGACTGTAATAAAATAAAACAAATTACTAAGAATGGTAATAAAAAAGATGAATACACCAAAAGTAAAAAAAAAAAAGAAGAAACCAAAAAGGCCACAGAGTCTGAAACATCTTCTCAAACACTTTCAACCGTCTCCTCACAACATTCCCTGATTGTCTCCCGTTGCCCGTCTGTGAGTTTGGCAGAATGTTTGCTCGCCATAGTTGTTCAAACATGTTGTCTAATGGGCTCGGAGCAGAGCAGGCGAGATATTGAACCAGTGGTTTATTGAGCAGATGCTGTCTTGTTGCTTTGGCAAATCAGACTCGCCTCCACTTTCACAATTGCCTCTTGATTCAGTTGACAGAGAAGTGATGTGCCAGGGTTGTTTGCGTGATGTTCTTCCACTCTGTCTAATTTTCCCCAGTAGGCCTGATGTTGACGTCTTCTCACAATGTCAGAGAGCAGAGAGATGTCTGGTGGTTACTGTGTTCCTGACACTGACCCACCTCACTGACGTCCTGTGCATCAGACTCACAAAGAGCTTCATGCCTTAAATACCAGAGCTCAGCTGAAGCTGCGTCACGGCTGATGTGAGGAAACGAGCCTCACCTTTATCTGTCATGTTCATGGAGTTAAAACAATGAAGGCGTGTTTGGGAATGTGTATAATAAAAAAAGTCTGGAATCTTCGTCAGGCAGGTTCAACAGTCTCCTTACATTCAATTAAGCCGCACCAAGTTTCACACACTCATAGATATGAGTCATTTAAATACGTCAGAATCTTTTCATCGAGATCCAGAACGATCGTCCTGGAAATTGGTGAAAATATGGTTTAAAGCTCATGTTTGTCGGAGGTTGATGCAGCTACTGAATTATTGATGACGGTGCATTTCAGACACATGGATGCACGGGAACATACAGTTCAAAGAGTTTTATATATGTACAAGAACAGTTGCACTCGCTCACCTTCTCATTCACTCTCAGGCTTCAGCTGTTACTGCTAAACAATCCTGAACTGACGCATTGCTCCTCCTCTTTCAGACTGGACGTGGTTTCCAGTCATTTGCCCATTAAAACAATCTGATCCATCATAACTACATGGTTGTATTTCTTCTTGTTTGCATCCAGAGCCAGGCGATCTTTTAGGATTTATTGATTCATGCTGGCACCTCTGTGTCGTTCCACTTGTGGAGTTGATGAAATTGCTGCCTGAATTGTTAATACCAGCTGTCAGACGCACCTGGAGACTATACGACTCAATCCTGAAGGAAGAGCAGACGTTTGTTCTGGTGTTTTTCTGCTTTAGGGCTCAAAAGATAAATCCTGGATTTAACATTTGGCATCACATCGTAGGTGCACCGAGCTTTGATAAGAAGGCAACTTTTAGGGATGAGTGGGGTGACTCTGCATTTGCTGTGTCTGGTACTGCACAGTGACTCCATGGGGAGAGGTTATTGCTGCCGGACTGACACGCTGCAGAGCATTTGCTTCTTATCTGTGGTTGGTTATCATGCGATGCAGCAAGCAAACAGACTGAGGGCCGACCAGTAGCCCTACAACTCGTCCCCGGAGACGGGGGCAAGGGGGGAACCGATGCCTCTGGGAGTAATTA